GGTTCTATATAAATTTTAGGATTATTTGTTCCATTTCTTTGGAAACATGAAAATGGCGACCTCCCAATTTCTGGCCTGGAGGAGCCAAGAACTCAGGCCCCACTCCTCAGTGAGCCCTCAGAGAAAGCAGTCAGTGCCTCCTATCTCTCTGGTCTCTGGCTTCACTCCGTGCTCACCCAGCCTGTGACCGAGCATTTCTGTCTCTGGCACATGACCCCGTTTGTTGTCTCCAAACCTAGCAGATTCCTGCTGTGTATTCCCAGTGGAGGAAGGGGGTTGGGTCTCCCTGGATCTGGTGGGCCCCTGCTCGAAGAGGCCGACTGTGCTGCAGATCATGGTTTAAGGTAACTCTGAGCTGAGAGCCCACTTCTTGGTTCCATCTTTGCAGATGGCTTCCCTGATCTGATACCTGGGAGCCCTGCCACACTTAGACACCCTCAGTCTTTCCATGACCTTGAGGGTCCTGAGACCACACCATCACAGAGAGGGCTTCACCCCTCACTTAGCCACCAGAGCGATGTCCCTCAGTGGAATAGACTTCTAAAAGTTCTGATTTTGTGCTTCGCTGCTATCCTTTGCTAGTAGCCAGCTGACACAGGCTCTCCCCGCCCCGCACAGTCTGTCTTCCCATATATCACCTTGGATTCACTTCTCCGCACATCCTGCCTTCCAGAAAGTGGTCACTTTTGTGTTCATAGAATTGCTGCTCTTAGTTGCCTTGATCTCCTATTGAGTTTATAGGTGTTCAGAATATTTTGATAACTATCTAGCTGAATTCCTGGGTCCAGATGAAATGTAAGTCTCCTACTCCTCTGCTATCTTGCTCCTCCCCAGTACATCATTAGTTTTTGATGTAGTGTTCCATGATTCATTGTTTGCGTATAACACCCAGTGTTCTATGCAATCCATGCCCTTCTTGATACCCATCGCCAGGCTCATCCATCCCTCCGCTTCCCTTCCTTCTTGTTTCCTGGAGTCCATAGTCTCTCATGGCTCATCTCCCACTCTGGTGTCTCCCCTTTCACTTTTTCCTTCTCCTAGTGTCCTCCATGGTATTCCTAATGT